GAAATCATGCCTGGAGGGAGGGAGGGTGTGTGTGTGTGTGTGTGTGTGTGTGTAAGGGTTTCGTATGTTAAATTTTCAGCTTAAAGTCTTTATGTGAATATGTTGTGCTGTGCTGAGAAGTAATTGCCAAATATACCCAGGTACTCGGGGTTGTTTTATCTATACCTCTGATTAAACTAAGGTCCTTGAGGCAGGGAAAGGATCTTGGATTATCTAGGTGGGCCCTAAATCACAATCACACCTTGTGTCCTTGTAGTCACCTAAAGAAGTGGAGTCAGAGGGGAGAGGAGCATTGAACAAGGACGGGGTGATTAGGAAGCAAGAAGTGGCTGTGTTGTGATTGTGCAGGGGTTGTGAGCCAATGACTGGCAACCACCAACCCCTCCACACCCCCCAACCTCGAGTTAAAACCCTCATAGTGACCATAGCTCATACTGGTTCTGACTCCTGATCTCTGCACTATAAGCCACCATTGGAGGGAACTGCTGTGTGTGCACATTGTCTGCAGGTAGCTGACAAATCTGTTACATAGTGCAAAATGTGGTCCTCTCCAGTGGCGGAGGCCTACTGTCCCCCTGTCTAAAAATAAAACCAAAGCAAAACAAGACATCATATTGTCAACTCCATTATATCCCAGAGAAAAAGTTGGCATTTTTAACATGCCACCGCACTTTTAAAGTGGCTTGTGTTCTTGTTATGTAATGGGCGAGGAAACGACAGGCTATGAGTGGTAGCTGGGGATGTAAGAACCAAGGGCTTGGAGGAAAGAGGCTTCACTTTAGGTGATAGGAGGCAGACAAGGAAGGTTGTGTTTATTAAATGTTTTTTATCAAGCACCGAAAGCAAGCTCTGGGAAACCCTGTTTGGTTGGTACATGTTGGGTAGAGGAGACTCCTCTTGACTGCTAGACCTGGAGTGCTCTCAGGCTTTTCTTGTAGCTGCCTTGATTAGGTCTTAGTGACTGGAGGTTTTCAGTCCGTTGTTTTACTTATCATCACACTGGAGGTGATCATTGCTAACTGAACTACCAGGAGATGGACCAGGCAGGGCTGACTAGTCTGCCTGCCTTTCTGCCTTTCAGGCGGTACCATGTGCAGAAAGAGAATACTGAATGTAGGTGAGTGACACAGAAGTGTCAGCTAGACTCTGTATAGGGCTGCTTAGCGCTGTCCTGATAGTTCTGGCTCACCTGCATTCGGCTATAATGTTCTTGGGGAAATACAGGGCAGTTTTAGCGTAGCATTTTCTACAGGGTATTCTTGCCTTTTCAATCAGGGTCATATGTTTGTTCTCAGCCTTTTCCAAATAGGCCTTGGTTTACGCTGTCAAATATGGCTCTATGCTAATTTTGCCTTCAAAGGAAACTAGCAGTGAACCTCTTTAACAGATGTGTCCAACCTGAAGTCCATGGGCCATATGCAACTTAGTATGTATAGGAACATGGCGTAACATATTTGTAGATAACACTGGCCAAAGATTGGACATGTCCCCTGGGTCTGGTGCGTTAATTTTAGACTAGAATTAGGTCATTTGCTTTCCAAACAGTTTGCCTTGACTTGTGTACAGTATCACTGTTGTAGTTTGAAGAAATCAATAGTATATTTGACATTCAAAGTGAATCAGGTTGTCTTCTATACAGAAAAAAAAATTCAGTATTATGAAATTAAAAGAAAGCAATAATAGTAATAGCCAGTGCAGAAGGTTGTATGTGGTATGTGTATCCCTGTAACCAACACTAGCACTGTAAGGAGATGAGCTGGAAAAGCATGGGCCAGCCTGGACCACATAATAGGATGCTAACGCCGAAAACAAAATGGGGCTCTAGAGATGGCAGCTCAGTGGTTAAGAGCACGTCTGGTCTCGCAGAGGAACCCAGATTGGTTCTCCACATTAGCTAGTGGAAGGGAAGAATGCATATGGCGATGACAGTAGATGGCACAACCCTCCTACGGTACTCCTCCGCTTCTTAATTCCCTTCTTAACTGTTTGGTCTCCTTTGCAAGCTCTTGATTTTTCCATTGTTGGAATTGGGGGGGGGGGCTCTGGGATCCTTCTCCCTTTTCAGGGGGTGAGTTCAGTGTTTCTGTGGCTATAAATGAAGTCTGTATGCCAATTAACGGCACCATTCTCCAACCTTAAGATTCCTTCTTATTCCTTGTACTTGCTTTCAGACAGCTTGCATGGGCATGTCAAAGCAACGAGAGGCTAGATTTTGTTGTTGATGATCATCTCTTCCTTACTTGGTTACCTCAGCAAGTGACACCACCATCCTTCAAGAAATGTATCTTGTTTGGTACCAAGCTGTGGTTTGGTCTTCCAAAAGAAATCTTTATGGTGTTTTAAAAGGACCTGGAAATGTATTCATTTGGTAGCAAATCACATTTCTCAGAAAGTATTCCTTTTCCGAGTAGAAAAATTACTACTTTAATCCCCCTTTCTCTAAATAAAATCTCATCTGTATGTCAGGTGTATGAAAGGCCAGGTAGCAGTACTGGGTTTTTGTGGATTTGTGTTCTTTTTGAAAGCCAATCAGATCTCCATGTGTTTGCATCAGGAAAGCAGCCATAGGTGGCCTGTAAAGAAGTAGAAAGGATTGTATAAAGCAAACAATTCTGTTTGTAAAAGTAGTGGTACTTTTTTTTGGTTTTATATGTAGGCTTGAGTGTAATGTGAGCAAAGGTGTCAGCTGAGTCCAGAAGAGAGGGTATCTGATGTCCAGGAGCTGGAGTTAATAGGTAATTGTGAGCCATTGGGGATGGGAACTCAACTCCAGGTCCTCTGAAAGAGCAGTACACATTCTTAACCCCCCTGAGTCATCTCTCCAGGCTCCCAAACATGTTTTGATTTTGAGATAGGGTTTTACTATGTAGACAGGCTGGCCTCAAACTCCCTTTGCCTTTTCATCTGACTCTTGCCTGCTGGGATTAAAGGTGTGTATCATCCCACCTGGCCCCACCTTAATTTTGACAGCCTTCAACTGGGACTTGGATCTCAGAGATTAGTAGGCTAGATTGGCGGTCAGCAAGCCCCAGGGATCTGTGTGTTTTCTGCCTCCCCAGAGCTGGGATTCTGCATGCTGTGCCTGTGTTTTTATATGCATGTTGGAGAATGAACTCAGGCTTTTGGAACATGCATTTTATCACTGGCTGTCCGCTCAGCCCTTCTTTTGGGTTCTTATACCTTTGAATGTAGTAAGAACTGAGCCTCAAAGTGGGGCTTTTGTTTGTTTGTTTTTGTTTTTTTCCTGAGCGGGAGGTGTGGCTCCATAAGTGTTTCATCATCTAATTTTATTCTGTTGAATGTGCACCCTGAGGGTAGAGACTGTATAGTCTCTATGGCCACTTTGTCAGTGATGGGCATCTTCAAAGCCCTGGCTAATACATGTGAAACTAATGCAAAGGTTAATCTAGGTTGGGATTCTCTGTGCTGCAGATTTGACACTCATAATGTATTCCTAGGCTGGCCTCAAACTTTCTTTGAAGTTAGAGGATGTCCTTGAAAACACACACACACCCCAATTCTGGTTTATAAGCTTGTGGCCTACCATAATGTTTCTGTATAGTTAGATTATAGTGTGGTGGTGTATCTTGGTGAGAGACTGACCTTGCTAAGGACAACAGACTAAAAATTATCTGACAGTGTGTGGAGTTCCAGGTCTGTAACTGCTGTCAGTCACACAGCCTGTTTTAATTGATCCCTTTGTCCATCCATAGATGTGTATCTTTATCAATACACGAATGTATTAGTGTGTTCTTTCTGATTCCTAAGGAGACACTTGGGCTTAATGGTTCAGCACACAGGTCTCTGAATTAGGCTCAAAGAGTTTATATCTGATACATACTTGTTCTTTTAAAGGGGGTGGGGGAGCATTGAGATCCATCAGGTAAGCTGCAAAGCCCAGTGACCCTAGTTGAGTCCCTTGGCAATACATGGAGGAAGGAAGAGAACAGACTGTGGGTTGTCTTCTGACCGTCATAAACATCTCCCCCATGCATGCTTATGGTTTGCACACACAGAACTTTTTTTTTCTTTTTTTCTTTTTACAGTCAGCCTTGGGTAAGTTGCCTAACTTTTCGTGCCTTAGTTTCTTTGTAAAATTAAAGTGGGAATGTGTGATGAAGATAGCGCTATACATAAACATCGAATAGAATGCCATTGCTAGTATGTCAGATTTCTAGACTGAAGAATTGTGGAAGTAAGCTGTGTGAGGGTGGCTCACACCTATAATCCAGCATTTGGGAGGTGGAAACAGGAGATTCGGGCTAGCTTAAGTAAGGGGTAGGATGAGGCTCAGCAGGTGAAAGTGCTTGCTGAGAAAGCTGGTATGAAGGGAGAGCCTAGCCTGTTTTGTTTTGTTTTTTTGTTTTGTTTTTTGTTTGTTTTGTTTGTTTGTTTGTTTGTTTTTCAGGACAGTGTTTCTGTCATAGAACTCTGTAGACCTTGAGCAGAGAGATTTGCCTGTGCCTGCGTTCCTCCAGCTGGGATTAAAGGCAGTGTGTGCCACCACCTGGCAATAGAATGTTCTTAAAACAAAATAAAATTTGTTTACATAGAAAGAATTATGGAAAGTTAGAGAGAGGTTTGGTTTTTGTGTCTCCTTTGCTTTTCCTTGCTGTGAGTGATTAAACTTGTAATGATTGCTCGACTCTACCCCTATTCTTTTCATTTTTCATGTACTAATTTGTGAAATAGGTAAAAAGGCAAAATGGAGACATTAGATAGCTAGTTCTACAAGTGTGCGAAACAGCACACTAATGGGGAGCTAGCTGTCCCTGGTAGGCTAAATCAGAGCTTTAATGTGAAGGTCTGTGGGGCTTGACATGGAAAGGTTTAGGTGGCCCAGGAGAGAAATCAGAAGTTCAAAAGATGGAGGACAAGAGTGAGGGGTTGAGAAACTGAGTTAGTAGCTATAAATAGTGTTATGTAAAAAGATTACACTGAAAGGTATTTTATATTCAATGTATTCATCTAATTAAGATGATCAATCTCATGTGTTTCAGATGAAAAAAAAGATATTGACCATGAAACGGTGGTTGAAGAGCAGATCATTGGAGAGAACTCACCTCCTGATTATTCTGAATATATGACAGGCAAGAAACTCCCTCCTGGAGGGATACCTGGCATTGATCTCTCAGACCCTAAGCAACTGGCAGAATTTGCTAGGTAAGTTACAATAACTTTTACTTTTTTTATAGGAAGTGCTTGAATCTTGCCAGCTGTATTCTTTTGTTCCCAAGTGACCGTGATGGTTTGTATTCTTTCTATAAGGATACTTCTGGAAACAAAGGCAACCACTGTTGGTTTTGGTAATAGCTGATGTTGTTCATGTGTGAAGGGCACCTTCTAGATCTTTGTAGACTGAGATGAGGCAAATACTCCTTGGTTTCACAGCCGGTATTGCTGTGGAGTTAAGATTGAGTTTTTGTTGGTCCAAGTGTGTTGCAGTGTGTCCAGATTTGTCCTGGATGCTTTGACCAAAGCAGGAATTTCAGCAGTCACAGTTAGTGTGTGATGAGTGTAACTCCTAGTGTTTTCTTAGTTTAAGTTGGGACTTCTGTGGCTGTCCAAGCTGAGCAGTCAAGATCTGTACTCATTGATACTTGTTTGTTTTGCCTGAAATAGGATGGGTTCCTACAGAAGTCTCTGCTGTTTGTATTAGCTTTTAGTGTTGTGGGCAGTTTTTATGAGGACATGGTGGGGTAGAGAAGCACACATGTGTAACATTTTAAGTAAAGTGGAATTGGTAGCATCTACCCTTGTCCAGGGTTGAGCAGAGCCATTTATTTTTCATTTGTTATAGCTTAGTAAAGCTAAGGCTCTGTGCATTTGTTAATAACACTGCTTCCCAGATTTTGTTATTCTTTGTACTTCAGTTATTAGAATCAAATATTAAGCAACCCCCCCCCAGAAGCTGCAAATAAAAATTGAATATATCATACAGAGTTGGCAACAAGGTATAGTTTGGGGGCATACTAAACCAAATACTGTGCCTGAGTTCAACTTTGTGCTCCTAAAGTTAACTAACTCTTCCGTGGTGCTTAGCATGGAGTGAGCACACAAAGATATCATGGAGACATTAACAGTATGTTATAGATAGGTTGGCAGTGGATGTGGACCATGATGAGCCTAGAGTTTTAAGACTATCACTGTAGCCCAGGCTGATCTGGAACTTGCTGTTCATCCCAAAATGATCTTGATCTCAACTCCTGCTTCAGCCTCCTAAACCCTGGGATTAGAGGTGTGGATCTCCATACCCAGCCTAAACCTAGAGTATCATTGACAAAGGCTTCCATGTTAGGGCATGCATGCCAACACAGAATGGCACAGTAGAAAATACAAATATGTACAATCATGCCTGGGGATTGGGTTACTTAAAGAAAATGAATGGCATCGAGGTCAATTGGGATCAGATTATTTAGGTTGGTCCCTGAATGCTAGCCAAAGGTGTGTGGGCTTTTTGCAGAGGGCAGCTGCTAAAGACTTGAACAAGGAGGAAGAGCGTTGATGGGGTGGATTACTTCATTGCCAAGTCCAAGATGGGTTGATGCAGGTTGTCCATGGATGTGGGAGAAAGCTTCAGACAGAAGGCTTAATCTAGAATGGTAGGGTAGACAGTTAATATTAGAAATAACAGAAAGTGGGGGCTGGAGAGATGGCTCAGTGGTTAAGAGCACTTGACTGCTCTTCCAGAGAACCTGAGTTCAATTCCCAGCAACCACATGGTGGCTCACAACCATCTATAATGGGCTGCAGAGTCTTCTTGGTGTGCATGGAGACAGAGCCTTCATACACATAAAACACATGAATAAATCTTAAAAAAAAAAAAAGAGAGAGAGAGAGATGACAGAAAGTAAGGAATATTTGATCTGTGTCTAGTTGGAAGAAGGAAAAATAAAAGGCCACCAACATTTACCTTCAGTTATCACCTTCCAGTCAGTGTTTGGGGTAGGCAGTGTGTGGATCTGGGGGTTAAACGTTGCTGTGGACTTGATGTTTTAGAAAGGAAGTTAGCGTAAAGTCGTACTAGAATCCTGCTATTATGGAAGTTCTAAAAGGGGAAGTTTGGGGAAACCCTTGTTTGGAGAGTAAGAGGAAACAGCGAGAGTGGGAGAGAGACATTCGACAGAGACACTCAGCAGCGGGCAGAGGACTGAAGAGAGATTCTGGAGAGAGAGGGAAGCTGTACAGGTGAGACCCTTGGCATGTTCCCACTGCCTTCCTCCACAATACCTCAAAGCACCAAAGGTAGAGAACCTAAAGCCCAGGGAGAAGAGCACTCACAGAGAATGATGTTGTGGATGCCATGGCCACGGTGGGTGATAGAAGTGCGTGGTGTTTTAAGAGGAGCACTCGGTGGTAAAAGTTTTTATGGGGCCCAGGGCCTTGTGCATGCTTGGCAATGCTGTTGAAAGGCAGTCTTTTCTTTTACAGTCAGTTCTTGGGGCTTTTGTTTTGTATTAGAATTGGGTGTTGCCTTTCTCACTTTGCTAGTATGAAAAAACTGAAAGTTTGGCATCAAGGTTGACTGAGGATTGGACTCAACCCCATTTTGGACTATATCCCTTAAAAGACCATGTTAACCTCCATGGACCTGTTGGACAGTGGTGGTAGAGAGAAATATCTGAGTCTGTACGCATGCCCTGTTATTTTCAGGTCTCCACATCATGGAATAGGGTCTTCAGGAGGTCTTTGACTGGTACTCAAGTAGAAACACCAAGATTTCACCTATTGGGCTCACATGACACTGTATGATCTCCACCAGTGATGGCAAAACTTGTTCTGGCCTTCTTCCTGCCCTCTGTACTGTGATGGGAGAGCTATAATTGAGTCTTGAGCTCTTGGCTTGTGGCTGAAAGTTCTGTTTCTCTTTTCCATCCTGTGGCAGAGTGGGTATTCTGTCCTGGACATGAAGTTCACCAAAGAATGTCTCAGACCTGCAACATTCCATTAGACTGCTTAGCATATATGATTGCATATTTAAGTAGACAGATTGAAGTTTAAAAAAATGAATTTTATTTGAAAGTTTTGTCTTTAAAGCTGGAGGGGGTGTGGGCTTGCTGGGTTTTTAGAAGTGCTTGCGTTGCATGACTTTTCCTGTGTGAGTTTCTAAGCTGAGTGCTATCTATCTGTTAGCCTGTGCTGAGGAGAAGTACATAGTTATCCTAGGCTGCATAATGAAGTTGAGGCTAGCCCTGGGACACAGCTGAAGTTCTGTTTCCTAATGAAGCAGGCAGTCTTTTTGTTTATTTTCCTAGAGCTGCTGGCACTGTTAAGTCCTATCAGGTAAGCTGGGCATGAGTGCAGCACACCTGTGATTCCAGCACTTGAGAGGCTGAAACAGGAGGATTGCAGGTTCAAGGCCACGCTGGGCTTCCAAATGAGACCCTGTTACTTGCAGAGGATAGCTGAGTGACAGCAGAGACTGTCCTAGCGGCTCAGGTCCTGCCTGCTGGCTCTGGTCTGAGTCTAATGTGCATCAACTTAATTGGGACTTCGGTTTAAACAGTGCTCTGTTAAAATTGTGTTGGAAATTTGCTTCAGGGGTAAGTTGTGGAGTCCAGTCTTCATGGTGGGGCTTCTTGCATATGTGACAGTGTGATGTCCTGTCAAGTCCCTCAGGAATGCTGCAGCACGGGCCCTCTAGTTTTACTATTACTAAAGGTGCCTTTCTGCTTGTGCCGTTTGTTTCAGTCCCTTTATCCTTTGGATGAAAGATAATTCAGAATATCAGAACCTTATGGGTTGTTCAGCAAAAAAGACATAATTTTAAGGAGAGAATTTATTTTGCTGGGTGTGGTGGCAGAGGCTGAGGCAAAAGATTGAGAAGCTAAAGGCCAGTCTGGATTACATGGTTGGGACCCTGTCTCAAAAAAAGAAAAAGAAAAAAAAAAAAAAAGAACAAAAGGATGAACTCATTTCTAACCGCATGACCAGTGGTAGTATTAACTGTCACTCCTCAGGTGTCTAGTGTGTGTTGTCTTTGACTCCATGCAGCCCCGTAGGAAGATTTGTGCCTGCTTACAGAGCAAGAAATAGAGGCTGAGAAGTTGAGTGATTTGCTCAAGGTCATGAAGCTAGGAGGAGCCAGCTCCAAGTCACATATCCATCCTGTCGTTGTCCTCATCCTGTCTGGGTCTGTAAAGTGTCCCAGTCAATGAAAGAAAATGCATCCAGTGCTTGGGGGTGGGGGGAGTGGGAGTGGCCTTCATTTTTCACGTGGGCAGCAGAGCTTCTTTCTCCAAGGGACGAACCACTGCTCTTATGGACAGTTAAGTCCTCCATTGATTCTGAGTCTTAGATTTGTCCAAATGCATTGTAAGTGCTCATTCTAAAATTAATACTAAATGATAACACATGTTTTTGAAAATGACATTTTAAGGGGGAAAAAGTAACAGCACTAGAAGTAACATCTGTTACCAGCACTTGCTATGTGGAAATAGGAAGGTCACAAGTTCAAGGTTAGTCCTGTGTTACACAGCAATTTCAAGTCTGGGATATATTTGGAGAGCCTGTTTCAAAATACCCCATTAAGACTTGAAAGAAAGCCGAGTGATGGTGGTGTGTGCCTTTTTATCTAAGACTTGAAAGAAATAGAGGTGTTTGCTGTTTCATGTTGATCTAACCTCTAGGTGGCGGAGTAGCACTGGCCTCCTACCCTGCTATGACCCGAACCCCAAACTTGAAGATTCACTGGCATTTAAGGCAACAGAGACTGGTACAGATGACACGTGTAATTCTAGCGTTTAAGTAGAGGCAGGCATTTGAGACCAACAAAAGCTAAATAAGAGCAGGCACTTAAGTAATGCCTGGTGATGTACTTACAGTGTGCCTTTGGGGTTGGAATTGGAAGGGTGTTCTGAGATTGGTTATCAGGCACTATAGTAGCTTCCTGTGTTTTCTAGGCGTGGAATGTTTGTCCAGGTTGCAAGGTCCAGCAGTGTAGGAAGGGAGGACCAGTCATCCTCTCCCTGGGTTTGAGTGGAAAGAGTAACCTGGGCCTCTGTAACTGTCACCTTCCGTACTTTGTCATTTATTGCTACGAAACCATTGGCTTAGTTACCGGTTAGATAGCTATCAACCTTCATGGAATAGTATGATGTGGCAGAACTAGGGATAAAAAGATCTACTTTCAAATTTTAAATATTTTTAGATTTCTGTGAACTTAAATATTTTTTGCCCCTTGATGTTTAGAGAGAGTTTTCATTTAAAAAAAAAAAAAAAAAAAAGGTTGCTTGAGGAAGTAGCAGCTGGACAGGTTCTTTGTTGGCAAGCTGTGAGGATAGTAGCCTCGCCTGGGGTTCTCCCAGATACCAGACTACTAAAGTTATTTTCTCACAGGGAGCTAGCTCCCAAACCACAACCTGAAATTTTTAAAAATAAGCTAGCTGTGATGGGAAAACCTTGGCTCGAAAATAAAATAAAATTAAAGACCAACAAAACTGTCATCGCCTATTGCCACCAAAACGAATACTTTTACAAGCAGTTAAGAGGCAGTTGCTTACCTTAATCCCACACTTGGGAGGAAGAGGCAGGTGGATCTCTATAAGGTCAAGGCCAGCCTGGTCTACAAAGTGAGGTCCAGGAGAGCCATGACTGTTAAATAGTAAAACCCTGTCTTGAAACCCTACCCCAGCCCACCCAAAAAGAAGCAATGCCACCTGTCCGCCAGACCCTTGGAAGTAACTGCCAGTGCATATTGGTGGTTTCCTTTGTGAGTTAGTTTTTATTACATGGGTGTAAATAATTCTATAATTCTGCTTAAAAGTACTATTTGATGCATGCTTCCAAAATTACATCTCTGAAAGATTTGTGTCTGTATGACATGGGCCCTGTGTGCATGCGCGTGTGTTACTGTTTTTCAAAGATGTATATTTTTGAGATATTCTGATGCCCATTCCCTTTTTTATAAAGCTCCCTTGTCATTGAAGCAACTGATTTTTGGGTAGCTTTACATGAGCCCACCCTGACTAAGTGATAGTCTGATGTTGTCAGGGTTATTCTTTGTGGGGGTTTTGTTTTTGTTTAATGTGGTTAGGTGGGAAGAGCAGATGTTTGGAGTCACAGGATAATGGTGCTGATGGTACTGTCTTAGCCACACCAGGTTCTCAAGGCAGCGAATGCAGCCTTTTGTAGCACCAGCACTTACGTAGGAATTCAGAAGAGCACCTCTTGCTCTTCTGGTTCAAAAGTTTGGACAATTTGGTCCTTTCCTCTTTGAGGATGGGGAGCGCCATGAGCTTAGTTGGTGCCACAAGGAGAAATCTTGGGACTATTTGATTTGTGCTTGTTGAGTGTGACCCACTCCTACAAATCCGTCTCTCTCTCTTTTTCTCCTTTTTTTTTTTTTTCTTCAATAAGAATGAAGCCAAGGAAAATTAAAGAAGATGATGCTCCAAGAACAATAGCTTGCCCTCATAAAGTAAGTAATTCGAGGGGAGTGTTGGTTAGCTGCTGCTTAGCCTTCAGACAGTTTGTATGGAATATGTACTTTGATTGCCACTTTTGTAACTAAAACTGAGTGAGGAGTTAGGATTTTTGGTTTATAAACATGAGAGACTTAATTTTGTTTTGTTTAGTAAAAGACACTTAAAAATGTTAAGAGGGGCTGCTGTAGGGGCCAGTGTTCTTAATGTGTATATTGACTGTATTGTGTTAGGATTTTTTTTGGGGGGGGGATCATTAACAAGCCTGTCTTACTGGGTTATTCTTACCCACAAGTCTTTGAGACTCAGCTCATGACTGAAACTTGGAAATAAAGTCTTGGTGATTTCCTTCAGTTTTCTTTTTGCTCTGTTAATTGTGCTACTAGAGGGGTGCATAACTGTTTTCAAACGCAGCTCTGGTCTTTAGTGGGGTGGCTGAAAATCAGTTTGAGGTGTTTGGAGGTGAGAGTCAGTTTTCAGAGTTGATTGGGCTTCAACAGGGAAAAGGTGTAAATGCTGAGAAACAAAGGGAAGAAACCGTGAATGGAATAAAGAATTTTCCAGAACAGCAGTTGGAGAAGAATAAGTGTGCTTTGAGATGTCTACTGAAAAGACCATGCACCTAAATCTGTGTACTCCTTGTAAATGCTTGTGGTGTGGCGGTGTGGGGTGCATGGTGGCTTTTATAAGAGCCAAAATTAAGATGCATTTGAAAACCGTTATGCCATAAGTGCCGGGATCTCTTTGCTTCTCTGTGAATGGGAGCTGAAGCTAGAGGTCAAGGTGGAAAACTGGCTTTCCCCTCCCTTTTGCCTGTGAAGCTGTCTAGTGGTGACCTGTGCTGTCCTTCTGTCACGCTGTCTCACCATTTCCCCACTCACTCCACCATGGGCAACAACTGCAGAAGAAATTGTTGAGGACATGCTGCTCTCGGGCACCACACATCCATCTGCCTCCCCCGCACTGGTATCGCTCTGCCTGCCTCTTCCTTTTCCCAGTGTCTCACCGAATAAATTTCTTCTGTAGTTGCCATTCCTTGGAGACCCTCTTGCTTCTTTCTCTGTCAAGAAGGGGAAAGAGGCAGAGAGAGAAGAGGGAACGGTAGGCGATGGAGAATGACAGCCCATTGTTGCAGCACAGAATACGGGGCCCACCAAAGGTAGTGGTGGACTACCGTCATTTTAACTCCGTTTATTTCTCAGTGCTCTGTTACTTCATCTGGGGTCTGTAGCTGGGTGAGGCGGCTGTGGTGTAGCTGGAAGCCGGGGTGCTGGGTTCTACTCCCAGCTTGGCTGACTACTGCTAGTAGTGTGACCTTGGGCAAGTCTACTTCAATACATCTCTAAGCCTCAGTTTCCTCATCTGTAAAGCACGGGTTTGCGATAAAAAAGGCCTTTTTCTCAGCTGTCTGATTTTTTTACCTTTTTTTTTTTTTCCTTAATAGCTTAATGTTTTGTAATGCTAAGTTAAAGTGGGGGGGGGGAGAGCTGGGGAGGTTGTTTGCTGTAAAAACATAAGTAAAGGCTGTTGAGTGGTTGAGTCCTTTCTCACAGTTTGCAGTGTGACCCACTAAGCTTCTTTCTCTGTTTTAAGGGCTGCACAAAGATGTTCAGGGATAACTCTGCTATGAGAAAGCATCTGCACACCCATGGTCCCAGAGTCCACGTCTGTGCAGAATGTGGCAAAGCGTTCGTTGAGAGCTCAAAGCTAAAGCGACACCAGCTGGTTCATACTGGAGAGAAACCCTTTCAGGTAGAGCCAGTTCCTATTCCCCAAACTCAAGTTGGGGTGCTGGGCGGGGTGGTGATGTCAAGTATGGTGGGGTTGGTGGTCTTGTTCCCACTCCTGATATGTCTCCCTGGAGTGAGTTCTACCTAGGTGGATGGTGTCTGTTAGAGAATCAGGATTATGTGAGAGACTCGGGTCTGTTTTGAAAGTGTGTGTTGAATTACTGATAAGTGTGTATGAAGTGCTGTGGTTCCTTCCTTCCGGCTCCAGGTGAGACTCCCAGGTGCTGCTTACAGAAGCAAGTGGATCTGAACCACAATTCTTTTTGACAGTTGGCATCACTAAATGTCTTTAAGTATCTGTATTCTACTTTCTGGGATGTCTGTGGAAGTACTAGAGCTTTAAACTGGCACTTAGCACAGCACTTTTGGTTTTTCAAGAGCTAGCCATGGGCTTGTATTGCCAGAGATCCCTGTCTGTCAATTTTAGAATATGCCCAGAAGGTTCTTCAGAAGAGGAAGGGGACAGGCTCAGTAAATTAATGGTGGTTTTCCATCCAAGCAATGTGCCATCAACCTCTACGGTCTGGTCCCAGTTTCAAGTGGGTTGATGTCTATTTTTTCCCTTGACAGTGCACATTCGAAGGCTGTGGGAAGCGCTTTTCACTGGACTTCAATTTGCGCACACATGTGCGAATCCATACCGGAGACAGGCCCTATGTGTGCCCCTTCGACGGTTGTAATAAGAAGTTTGCTCAGTCAACTAACCTGAAATCTCACATCTTAACACATGCTAAAGCCAAAAACAACCAGTGAAAAGAAGAGAGAAGACCTTCTCGACCACGGGAAGCATCTTCAGGAGTGTGATTGGGAATAAATATGCCTCTCCTTTGTATATTATTTCTAGGAAGAATTTTAAAAATGAATCCTACACACCTAAGGGACATGTTTTGATAAAGTAGTAAAAATTTAAAAAATACTTTAATAAGATGACATTGCTAAGATGCTCTATCTTGCTCTGTAATCTCGTTTCAAAAACAAGGTGTTTTTGTAAAGTATGGTCCCAACAGGAGGACAGTTCATGAACTTCGCATCAAAAGACAATTCTTTATACAACAGTGCTAAAAATGGGACTTCTTTTCACATTCTTATAAATATGAAGCTCACCTGTTGCTTACAATTTTTTTAATTTTGTATTTTCCAAGTGTGCATATTGTACACTTTTTGGGGATATGCTTAGTAATGCTGTGTGATTTTTCTGGAGGTTGATAACTTTGCTTGCGGTAGATTTTCTTTAAAAGAATGGGCAGTTACATGCATACTTCAAAAGTATTTTCCTGTACAAAAAAAAAAGTTATATAGGTTTTGTTTGCTATCTTAATTTTGGTTGTATTCTTTGATGTTAACACATTTTGTATAATTGTATCGTATAGCTGTATTGAATCATGTAGTATCAAATATTAGATGTGATTTAATAGTGTTAATCAATTTAAACCCATTTTAGTCACTTTTTTTTTTCCCCAAAAAATACTGCCAGATGCTGATGTTCAGTGTAATTTCTTTGCCTGTTCGGTTACAGAAAGTGGTGCTCAGTTGTAGAATGTATTGTACCTTTTAACACCTGATGTGTACATCCCGTGTAACAGAAAGGGCAACAATAAAATAGCGATCCTAAAGAAAGATTATGGCAGAAAGAGGTCTGTAAGCACAGCCTTATTTTCTTCTGTTGTCCAGAATACTTATAATTCTTGAGCCTCCCAGAAATTGGAAGCTAAATAAAGCAACTCGAGTTTCCTTTATTTTGCACTCAGCGACAGTGACTGTGATGAGACCCGTGCATAGACACTTAATAACTTAATATTTCCTATGTGCCCTGAATCCCGAAAGCGTAGGCAGTAGGCACCCCGAGCTAAGGGACTACCTCAGAGCATACCAGATGGCCCATGGCCATCAGCACCGCCCTTGACATCATGGTGCATGTGGGAGGGATGCCTTTGGTAGGGCTTGATGCTTTCTGAAGGGAAGGCACCAACTGACAGTGGGTGCACCCAGGGAGGACAGGCCTTCCTTCCCATCACTCAGGCTGCCTTCAAGGGCAGTGGCTCCTTGGCTTGTCTAATAGGAAATCCAGTGCAGTCCTTATTAGATGCTAGCAGATGTAGCAATTGAGTGCCAGTAGCTGTTTAATGCTTGTAAACACACTAAGTGCAGAGCGGCAAGGCGATTAGATTATTAGAAAGTTGTACTCAGTGAGTACTTGACTTGTCATGTTGTGACCTCTTCAATGTATAATTTTTGAATTTTACTTAGAGTCAAATACCAGACTTGTTAAATATTTTATAAACTGCCGTGATACATCAAAATCTCATTTATTCAAAATGCAAACCTAACTGTCTGTCTTTCTGTGCTGAATGCTTAACTACAAGGTAAATGACAAACCAATACCAGATTTAGTCACAAAGAGGCCGGGAGACGAACCGGTTGGACATGTAGCCCGATTTCTTACAGCCTCCTGGGAGGATTGGTGACCTAGAAACAGTGACCCTGTGGCTCTGTGGAATTTTGAAGTGCCTTCTGAACCATAAATGAAAATCATAACTTGGGACACTTGTTTTTATTCGTCCAGAATCTGTTATCCAATGAGTAGTTGACGGGACTGAGCTCATCAGCAGACCCAGCTGTGCTTGGATGACAGGCTTTGCTGTGCCTGGCAGTCAGAAGAGAGGTAAGCCTAAGGAGGGGCCCCTTCCGAGCCAAGTGCCCCATGTGGCTCTCTGCCAGGTGTGGGCAGAGCTCTGCCAGTGCTTCTGGGAGCATCCAGCATCCAGGCCTCTGCTCCCTACCAGGGAGCAGGTTGAGCTTCCCTAAATGCCCTGCAGTAGGAGTCCAGAGCCACGTTACCCTCCCTCACCCAGTGTGTGCCACCTTTGCGTCTGGCCCGGGCACTTCCTCAAGACCCTTGCCCAAGGCTCCACGGCAGAGCAGATGTGTGCTGTGGAAAGGCCTGCCAGACATCGTGAGAGTCGGGCCCATGTGTGGAGTGAGGCCTCATCCTTTGTGCCTTGATTCCTTGGGGGATGCCCCTCAGCCATCTCTTCTGTCCCTTCCTGTCTGAGTGGAACAGCCATCGTCTTCACCCTTTCTGTGTTAGCCTTGTCTTTCAGTGTGCAGTTACTTCTGTTAGTTCATTCGGGGGTTCAAAGACAGCTTGGTATGTATGCAGGTCCTTGCTGACCGCAATTTGAGCTTAGGACAACAGCATAGGGGACAGATGTGAGTGGCAGTGGCCAGGGGGAGCTGCTTCTCATTGGCTTTGGTTTGGCTTAAACCCATCTTGCTTGTTAGAATTTATTATTTTGTTATAGATGTAATTTACTAAAATTTGAAATGGTGTTCTAACAGTGAGTCCATTGTCTAGAGAATTGATCTGATTTGTAAGTAATACTGATAGACCTATTTTCTTACATCTGAGCAGAAATAAATGCATGTTTTTAGCAAATGTAATGTACAAACTCCAGAGGATAAGTTTACACCTAATAAGATGTTGTTTTCTATTTTTGAATTTGTTACTTGCCCCTCTTTGGTAGTGGGGTTGGGGGCATATTATCTGTATACAGAGCTGTCACTCCAGAGTGACATTTATTTCCCACAGAGATGCTGAGCTCACGCCGTGCTGTCCCATGCGATGTGTGTACTTTGCCCAGACTCCAGGCCAGAGGAGCTGAGGAAAACCCAAGACTTTCCCCCCCATTTGGTTTCCATGCACAGGTTCTTCTGAAAGCCACTTGTCTAGCTAAGTTTGGGGATGTAAGACCCTTTGAGGGGATGATGCGTGTGTGCACTGTTTGCCCGTGTTTCTAGGCAGAGTTGTATGTAGCTCACGTCTTCACAGAAATGAGCACCTACAGTCAGTGAGGTGTGTGGTGCTCCAGGGGTGATACGGTGCTGGCCTGGCTTAGCACCCACCCACCTTCCGCTCTGCAGGGCTCACCTGTGCAGTAACCTCAGATCACTCATACTATAGAGCGCCTGTCTGGGACCCAGGAAGTCTTGCCTCCTGCTCTCACCCACTCTACCACAGGCAGAGGCCTGATTTCTACCTTTTCCTCTGTGCTCCACAATTGGCATGATTTTGTCAGTCTGCGGTGTTCATGTCTATTCTCTCAACGTCTGTCCAGCTTACAGCAAGAGCAGGTACTTCAGGGGTCAGAACAAGGGGTGAGCAGAGTTGGCAGTAGATGGCATGCCTACTAAAAGGCTTTGTCCTTGCAGCCCTACTGGCTGTGGAAGCTGGCTCCTTTTCTAGCCCAGGTTGTTTGGCTCTGGCCATAAGAGGCCCCGTCTGACTTTGCAGCCCCTTGGTGTTAGTGTGACTTAACACCTCTTCAGAGTCCAGGCCTAGCAGACCTGGCAGATGCACTCCACCTAAGATTTCAGCCGAGGCTAGGAAGTCAGAACTCAGGGGCATATGTGCTTGCTTGCAACTCTGGGCGAACACCTCAATCCTGCTCTTTGGCTAATCAGAACAACAGGTACTTCATGCTTCGAATCACTAACCTCCCAGCAGCATTGACCAGACAGACTGGTTAGGTCTCCAAAGTACTGACCTCTTCCTCCACTTACTTGTCAGTGTTCTCAGGGTGTGTTCAGGGGCCTTGCTTGCCTCAGGTGGCTTAAGGACAGGCCCTTAGGATCCGAGTGGCACCAGGCGGGAGAGGATAGGTGTGTGGCTAAGAGGCTTCCTGGCATCCTCTTTGGACCTAATGGGTCAGTATGGTGCCAGGAAGATCATCCTCTAGCCTGGACATTATTTAGACTTTACAGGAAGGGTGGGTGGCAATTGTGAACAAATGTCACTCTGTTCCTTATAAAACAAACCAGTAAAGCGAGTATTGGAGCTTGAATGTTGGCAGTAGGTCAAGCAGGGTGCACCTTCCACAGACTAGTACAAGGTATGCCCAACCAACATTCTGGAGTCCATTGAGGGAAGGGGATGAAATTAATTGGCAGCACATTGCCTGGCATTCCACAGAGTGGCAGGTTTGATGACACTTCTTAAGGCCACTCATACACCCTAAGAAATGACACTGGGGATGGGTGACTGCTGGGTTGTCTGCCTCCCTGCCTGGGGCCACATGGTGTCCACATACGTAGCATAATGGAGTAGAGAAGGCATCAGTACCAGAGTCACTCACCTCTTTATAATGCCAGCAGCTGTTGAGACTCTGATGTCTACAAATGACAAGAAAAGTTTTCATTTTCTGGGAACTCCTATATAGGCCCTGGCTCAAGGACTTTGCATTGTGTGTCATGTACATCTTTTTAAGTGTTCTTTGCTGTTCTGTAATTGTCCTTGGTTTTTCCTTAGCTCATAGATCATAGACACAGAAATATTGTAGTATTTAAAGCATCCGCATCAAGCATCAGATGGCTTCGCATCCAGGAAAACATGATTACTCAGTCTGAAGCACCAAGCATGTGTAACATGGCTCTATACAATACAATAAATGCTAATGTTAAGCTTTTTAATGCCTGTGGTTTTTGTTTGTTCATCACTTTGCTGAGTGTCATTCCACCTTGAGCCTGGGGTGAGCTCTATCCCCACCCCTGGTCTGAGGGGTCCTGAGTTCCCAGGGAAGATGCTGTGCTTTCCCTTCTCACTAGGAATAGGGTCATGAGTACAAGAAATGCTTCATTTCTGGGCCAGAAGGAGTTGTCGTTGAGAGCCCCACCTACTCTCCAGAAAGCACAGCCAAGTGAGTGCTTATCATGCAGCTGGGCTTGTGCTCCCTAGTACTGACCCCGGAAGCTCGGGAACCAAAGGGGGCTCCGAAACCAGGAGTCCAGGGCTTGGCTGGGAGTGAGCCTTTCTGACTGCCTGGGGCCCTGGAGCCTTACTGTGCTTGCAAGCACTGAAATGGGGCTGTAGTCATCATGTTGCTGAGGTGGCAAGGCCCCAGCCCCTCTGAGGCCAAAAGGGCTGAGCAGCTGGGGTTCCTGCATCTTTGGTTGGTAAATGGGCTGTTCTCTGGAGGCTCCCCAAGGCCTGCTTCTCAGAGTGACATGTGAATATATGCTTTCATCTCCAAACAACTGCAGGGATTGGGGAACATGCTGCACTAAGAGGGGAGAAGCAGCCCATTTAGCTTTCACTCTGATCCCTTGGCCTGGACTATCTCTCCAACCTCCTTTCAGAGAAGCGCCTGTTTACCCTTTACAAATACAGTTAGTTCATGGGGCTTTCTACCCCAGCTGGGTCATTCTGAGCTAGAACAGTAAGCGGCTGTGGACACAGGAAAGCTGTGCCAGTTACCCTCACTAGAGCCTTGCTGGCCTGCACTGTCAGTAGCCTGGGGCTCAGCTCCAGACCTGTAGCTCCCCATTTTGACTGGAAAATTGCCTGTTCCCATATAACAATTCAGCTTCAACCCAAGCCTGTGCTACAGCCTCCAGAGGAGTCATTGTGCCCAGGCTTGCCTCGCTGGGATTGCCGGGTTCGCTCCATCAAGGGCTTACGTATGTAGCATGCCCTGTTTAAGGAAATCATGACCCTACCTCAGTGGCGTTTGTACCTTACCTAGCAGAAGACCTTAAATGTCATGCTATGAAAACATGCATGCCTTCAATCCCAGCACTTTGGAAGGCAGAGGCAAGTGGATCCCTGGGATCTCTGGTTTCCAGGGCAGCCAGGGCCACACAGAACAAAAAGGAGAGAAGGAAGAAAGAAAGCTTAGGGAGAATGAGGAGGCGGGGCAGCTGGTACACATGAACTCGGGGAGGGGAATTTCCAGTTCTTGCCACATGTTCTGTCCCAGGTAGGGGCAGCCAGTACTTGGCCCATTCTCCTATCCTCCCATACCAGGAAGCTTTCTAAAACTCTGGCCTTTGTCCACTCAGAGTCCTAGACATGTCCTCCACTCCATGCCGTTCAAGCTGACCTTCCATCTTCAGTGCAGGAGGATGCTGTGGACCCTGATGTATGAAGAGCTGCCCGTGTCCCAAAGCTGCAAATGAGTTAAGGTGCAGGCCTGCCAGTTCAAGGCTTGGGTGTGTGTGGTACAGGGAGGCTGGATGAGAGGGGTTGGTGACAGGGCAAGTGGGGAGCTTGTCCCTCTCACCAAGTGGGCAGCCTCATCTGAGAAGCCATAGCCAGGTGGTCTGGTGCCAGGGAGAAGAGACATCTGCCAATGGGAAGAGGGTGTCCAGGCTGTGAATTCCAAAGGGGGCCTTTCTCAGGCCTGGGCTACATACTGTGTATTCCCCTAGAGCAGTGGAGTCCTGTCCTTGATGTGTGGGGAGAGCCACTATCCCAGAGATAGGTTAAGACCTGGTGGTGAGGGCGAGGGAGGGTATAAGGGCTGATGCCTGGGTGGAAAGGGACTTCAGTGAGTCTGATGGAAGGAAGGAGGTTTGGATCCTGAGATTTCACCTCACTGCTGAATCTCTTTAAGAAATGGGTTGGACATGGGGATACTGCCCTTGAAGAAGGGGTTGATGTAGTTCTCATGGGACCCCAGTTCTGTCTACCATAGGTAGATACAAACTGAGGTGGCCATTTCCCTCCCTTCTGACATGGTGGTTCAGAACTGTCCTGATCTCTTCAGGCACTGCACATGGTACACAGATATACTTACAGGCCAAATGCCCCTACACAAAAGTAAACAAAACCCAAGAAGATTGTGTCAATTTCTCTGCAGCCCTGTGGGCCACGAGTCCCCGTGGTAATTGTGGTGGACCTGGCTGGGACATGTGAGGGAGTTTTGCCAGCTAGACATGCGCCTGCTTTTCATTTCTGACCTCCAGCCTTGCTCTTCACGTTGCAATTTGACAGGAAGCCCAGAGAGGCAGACGAGCCCTGGGGGGGCCTTGAGGGGGCTGCCGTCTCTTTTGCACTGCCCCTTGGCTTCGCTATGTATGCTGCCAGATGCATCCATCACAAGCTTCGAGGCACAGCTAGAGGTTTATCTTGTCACATCTAGCAGCCACTGGTGGGTTTTGTCCAGGAAAGTGATAGGATGCGGTCTATGCTTTAAAAACCAGACTGGTGGGCCCAAAGAACAGAGCAGCAGATCAGGGTGGGGGCTGAGGCTTGGGGCATTTGAGCAAGTGTACCTAAAAGCCTAGAATGCTTCAGGGCAGACACAGTGTTCCCAGCATATAGGGCAGGAAAATGCTTCAAATGTTAAAAAAATAAAGTTCTGGAAGTGTTGGGTGAAGTCAAAGAAAGGAAACAAAACTGTAGCAGGCAGGATCTGGAAACTTCTGTGCAGTTCCTTCCTCGTCCCTATGGGTTTAAAGGGCCATGAAGGGCAAGGCTATAATCCATCTCTCTTGAAAGGATGATTTGGGAGACCAAGTGAGAATAGAGAGCAGCAGGGCTAAAAGACTGGGGCTCCTGCCCTGCGCCTTGGCGGGCAGCGAGTAGTTCCTCATGAAATAAAGAGCAGGCATGGCCCCTTGCTCCATGCCAGCAAGCCTCCCATAGGCCCTGTAAATGGAGTTCTTGGTTGATCTAGATGATAAAAGGTTGGAGTCAGATGAAGAGGGAAATGCCAGGACATCAGGGAGGAGCAAACCACAGCACACCTTACCTCCCTAGGGTCTCAGCAGACTAGAGAGCAAATTCCTGTTCCTCCTGCTCATGTACACACACGCACGCACTACTTCACAGCTGTGCCATGACATTCCCTCAACAGCTTTACAAAGTCAATGTCACAGTCTGGTTTTACAGGAAGGTCACCTGTGGCGTGGTGCTATCAGAGACCACAGTCCTCACTGTACCCACCATCCTTCACAGGGCAGCAGGAAAACCCAACAGCCAGGACTAGCCTGGGCACAAACACTGGGGAACACATTTGTATCTCCCCACTTCAGAATTTACTAACTAGCAATAGATTACTAGTTGGGTGTGGTAGCACACACATCTGATCCCAGCAGGGCACAGGCAAGGAGTTCAAAGGCAACCTTGGCTCGATCTATATATATAGTGAGTTCCAAACTAGCCTATAGGCTGCGTGAGACCATGTTTGAAACAGAAAAGAAATACACAAGTATTTGTCAAGCCAAACAATGGCAACCAATCTTTTGTAACACGAAAAATAAGAATTCAGAGACTGATACTGGGGTTCAAGCTCCAAGATCAGTAAAGCAAAGCAACTAAGCCACTAGCTCTCACCTCTACCTCAGGCTGAAAGGGCTGATCTGTTCCCATGAGCTCTCACCAAGCCTCAGACTGCTGCCTATCCTCAGCGTGGATGAAGACATCTCAGAATGCTGCCTGAGATGCTGAGCTCCTGGCTTTGTATATACCTCTCTAGGGCTGGGATTAAAGGTGTGAGCTAATTTTCTTTTAGACTGGTTCACTCTTGTGTAGACCTAGGAGGCCTTGAACTCACAGAGATCCATCTGCCTTTATCTCCTAAGTCCTGGGATTAAAGATGTGTGCCCAGATTCTATAGCTAATTAGAGTGGCTGGCCTTGCATTTTGGTCCTCAGTTACTTTAATAAATCATAAACACTATATCACCACAATCTTTTGCTTGTCTTTTTTTTTTTTTTTTTTTTTTTTTTTTAAGATTTATTGGGCTGGAGAGATGGCTCAGTGGTTAAGAGCATTGACTGCTCTTCCAGAGGATCTGGGTTCGATTCCCAATACCTACATGGCAGCTCACAACTAACTGTAATTCCAGTTCCAGGGGTCCCAACACCAATGCACATAAAATAAAAATAAATAAAACAGAGAGAGACTATAAAAATATATAAAGAAAAAAGATTCATTTTAGGTTTATTAGATGTTTTGCCTCCAGTTATGTCTGCACCATGTGCCCAATGCCTGTGGAAGTCAGAAGCGGGTATCAGATCTGGAACTGAAGTTATCGATGGTGGGAATCAAACCCATGTCTTATGCTCTTACTTAACCCAGTCTCTTCAGCCCTTTATTTCTGTCTTTACTAATGTTAACTGCCATCACACTTCACACATCACAACTGTACACAATGCAGGAGCGGCAAGAGGGTTTTTAGTTAAGTGAGCCTGTACAGAAGGCAGAGAGCCGACACAAGGAACTAGGGGCCAGGTGAGCCTTAGGAGCCACAAGTGCAGGCCTCTCGGGTGGGTTGTTTGAGGTGGGTGGGTTCAGAGCAGGTCAGAGGAAAAGCGTGGGTCCCAGGGATTGAACTCAGGTTGTTAGGTTGGCAGCAAGCCCCTTTCCTCATTGAGTCCTCTCACCAGCCCATTGCTCAAGTTGTAGTCCCCGGTGAGGCGATTCCACTCAGTGTGATTGGTAAGCTCATGTGTCCGGTGATTCTCATGTGATTTGATATAGAAATCATTATTTACTGGCACAAATCATCCGTTTGTGCCTCCCGGTACAATGGCGATGACGTTTGTTTGTGTAAACTAGATGTGGAGTCATTCTTTCTTGGCATTTACACTCAAAGCTGAGGAACTTAGATCAAGGCTTCGGCATTTATATAATGAAGTGACTGAAGGCCAAGCCCAGCCTCTAGACTATCATTCCCTACATCTGT